TCTTTATTAATTGTTTTTAGATGATTAAATTTAATTAAGCCAATTAAACCTATGTCAATCAATTTAAATCAAGATCAAAAGAAAAGACATAAAGAATAAAGAATGCCAAAGATGATCACAGAGGAAAATCCAAATCAAGAAATAACTTTCGGACAAACTTGTAGTAAATGATCGAATAAAAATGTTAACTTATAATTAGTCCAGACATTAGTAAACCTTAACTGACTCTGACCACCTAACTGGTAGATTACCAAGGAACTTCTTTGATTGTACATGCTTGTACTTTCTAGATTACCAAGAACAAACTCCTTTTGTTTCGAAGCATTGGAACTCCAAGCGCCTTTTCCCAAGTTTTAGAACTTTGAATTGGAGTGTAAATGGTTTTGTTTTTGGTGTTTGTTTAAGGACCTTTTTGTGATTTGATCTCTAGTTGAGGCGGGAGAAATTGGAATTCAAAATATGTCCTTTTGACTTAATTTGAAACTCAAGAAATGATGAAACGAGGTTTGGGATGAAAATATGAATATTGTGTTGAATCTAAGAATAAAAGGAATGCATTTATGATTTTTAATAATAAGATCTCTAAGACAAAATAATGATTCAACGCTCCTTAAGATGTACATGTGGTTGTATATTTATAATGGAACTATTTGGGATGAAAAATGAATAAAAATGCGTGCTTTATGCAAATAGGAAAAATCTGAAAATTTGGAAAACATACAGTCGCTAGACCGAAACTCTCGCTGCAAACGAGTTGTTGGTCCATCATTAGAGCGCCAAAGTCGCATTAATTGAGCAATGGGCTCGCTGTTTTGAGCGCTGGGGAAAGTTAGCGTCGATGAGTCTTTCTTTGAATCAACTTCTTGAATTCTGAATCTTGATCCTCTTCTTGGATTTCTTTGACCTCTTCTTGGACTCTTATCATCCCCAAACTATTTTGACTTAAAGATTGGACTCTATCAATCTTATTTTGACTTTGATTACAACTCAATAATCTCCATATACAATTCAATTAGGACATGATTTTGACTAAGGAAATTGTCAATTACAATTTTGAAAATTTCTAATTTTGTTAGTTGCAAAATTTGATCCTAACATAGATGATATTTGCTCTAACTGTGTCTATTTAATTGTTTGTTTTGACTTTAATTGAAAAGGATGTTATTATTAATATAAGAGTTTTAGTTAAACTTGTTTGGTACCCCTTTTTCCCATTTTTACAAGATTCCTTATCGTTGGAATAGTTAGGAGGCCATGCAGCCGTCTTTTGTTGACTCAACTTGTAATTGGAAATTTATGCAACTACCCTCAACATTTTAACCAATGCAGTTCACATGAAATTTAAAAGGGTAATTAGCACGAAACGTCCTTATCTTTCATGATTTTTGTGGAAAATGTCCATATCTTTCGTTTTTTGGCGCATTTCATCCATACCTTTACATTTTCTTGTCCAAAACATCATTTTCATCATTGTCTCGAAAAAACGCTATAAAATGACCAATATACCATTCTATTTAAATTTTAAAAAAAATAAAAATAAAGAACTAATTGCAATCATAGTCCCAATTTTTAAAGAAAGTTCAAAAGAGTCCCCAAAAAAATATTTACACTCCCACAAGATCATTCACAAAGTTTTGAAGCCGTCAAATATATTAGTAAACAATAAAATTGAAGTGAAAATTTCTGATTTTGGAGTCAGTAAAATCATGCACTGGACATTGGATCCTTGCAATTCCTACACTAGAACTTGTGCTTATATGAGCCCAGAAAGATTCGACCCGAATACATATGACGGCAATTACAACGGGTACGCCGATGATATATGGAGCTTAGGATTGACTCTACTGGAACTGTTCATGGGCCATTTTCCTTGTCGGAGGAGTAAAGACCTGACTGGGCTACAATTATGTGTGCCATATGCTTTGGCGAACCACCGAGCTTGTTGGAAGTGCATTAGAAGATTTCAAGAATTTCATTCAGTGTTGTTTGTAAAAGGTTTCCAGTAAACGATGGAGTGCAACTTTTGTAAGAGATATTGAACTGAAATCAACATGAGGAGATTAATTTTCGAGGATTATGGCCGGAAATCCGAGGGTAACAGTTTGTATATATAAAACCAGAATTTTCGAGATTTTATTTCTTTTGTTTTATCTGTATGTTCTTTACTTAATTTTCGAGGATTATGTACTTTTTATTTTTTTTGTTTGGGACTCTTTTGAACTTTTTTTAAAATTGGGACTATGATTGCAATTAGTTTTTTTTAATTTAAATAGAAGGGTATATTGGTCATTTTATAGCCTTTTATTGAGAAAAATGATGAAAATGATGTTTTGCACAAGAAAATGTAAAGGTAGGGATGAAATGCGCCAAAAAACGAAAAGTAGGGATGTTTTTCACAAAAATCATAAAAGGTAGGGACGCTTCGTGCTAATTACCCAATTTAAAACAATAATGTCAAGGGCATAAATGTAATTGACATCTTCAATATGTGCTCCACGCCTCCAGTCTTGAATATTCAAAATGTGGTACCTCTGGTTGTCAAACAAAAACCAATAATTTAAAATGTGGGGCCCACAAAAATGAAAATTAGAGTGGAAAATGTGGAAAGAATGGGCCAAACAAGGACGGAGTCAGACATTTGGCGCTGTGGGGTCAAAATAAAAATACAATTTTTTTTAGAACAACATATCATAATATGTTGTTTTGAACACTCGCTTCATCTAAATTTTGCTCCGCACTCGAAAATAAGGATTTTTATTTAAAATATTTCTCCATGAATGTTACAAAATCAAATTCAATATTAATAAAATATGAGCACAAAATCTAGATGAGAAAATTTGCTATTTCAGTTGAATAAATAGTAAGAAGAAACAAGATGATATCAACCATTTTTTTTTTAAATACTAGCAGAGACCAAAATCATACTTTCTAGATTCACACAAAATTTTATAGTTGTCTTCTTAATTTCTTATTTATAGTCGCAGCAATTAGATCCAAACCCCATAATTTAATCGGATAAGGATAAATGCATGATTCTCTAAAAGTCATCAAATAATCACAAAAAAAATTATCCAAATGCTATATTGATAATTTCCATAATATGGCAGTGTCGATTTGTTTAGATGTTTATGTTTTTCTTGTAGACTACATAATAACTAATAAGCGATGAGGAATTGTAGTTGAATTTTAGAACAAAAATATGTAAAATCGAACAAGTAGGGTGTCGATTGGTTACCTAAACGGAATAAAGATCACAAAGTTAGCACAAGAAAGAAAATCCCAAAACGTGAAGGAGTGGAGAGAATGGAGTTGCATAGGTGAAATACCAATTAATGGGCTTGTGCAATTGGAAATAATCAATTGAACAAGGTTATATTTAATCTTTACTGTACAAAAAAAAATGCTAGGACAAGCATAATTCACATATTAAACCCAAAAAAAAAAGGCAAAAAACCAAAAAATTTTGTGGTGTCAACTGACCCCATGTGGGTCCGTCAGTGGGGCCAAACACCCGCTAAAGGATTATAAAAGGTTCAAAAGCATTTAATGATGATAAATTTTAGTTGATGAATTAGATTGATATAATTTATTTGGTTTTATTTTTATCTATTTAAGTAAATTTACATCAAGTTAAAAATGTAAGATATAATTTTTTTAAAAGTGAATTAGCTATATGAGAATGATGGCTTCCTTTTATAACCAATGGTCAATTTTTTTACACTATATTTGTTGGTAAGGGTGAAAAGCTACGAGATAACCATTTTAGAGACACAAATTTATTTATTCAAAATTCATTTTCACCACACATTCTTCATTAAAATAATATTACACATAATTAAAAAGTTTTTCTTTGTTGTTAATCACATATTTTCCAAAAATCCCTATTCAAAATGATTTTTTTTTGTACTTTAAGAAATCAAGTCTCTGGTTTGATCCTTGGCACCACCAAAGCCTGGAAACAAGACAAGCAATGAACAATAAAGTCCCAAGGTATGGAATCCCGGAAAGAAATTGACCCAACTTAAATGAGATATAATAGCTTCTTTATGGTCTAACATTCTTGCCAATACATTATCTTCATTTTGCTTCGGATTGTAATCTCTAATGAAAAATATAGCTCCATGAGGAAAAGCTCCAATCATGATGAATCTTGCAATATATTGGTGATGAGTATACTGGCGGATCTGGTGGGGGCATGCAGGGTCAATTGACCCTCCAGTTTTTAGGATTTTTTTTTTAAATATAAATAAATAGTAGGTCAAAATTAAAATAGACAAATGTCACAAACCCAACATTTCTTCCCTGCTTGGCTGCTTCTACAGACTTGAGACAACGACTTCTCTCTCTCACTCGACTCTCGTCTCTCACTCTCCGGCAGGCGGCAGCCATGCTCTCGCACAATGCACTCCCACCACCGACCACCAGTTCCTTGCTTCTACAGATTACAATACATCACAGACTTACTCTTTCCCACGCAGTGCACGCACCGGCCAGTCGGCCACCCCCACCTGGACCGCTTCGTGCCTGACCTGCCTCCATGCGACTGCAACAACCGACGCCGGACCCGGGCGGACCATTTTTACTGACTTGAAAGTTGAAAGTTAGAAGCTTTACTCAAAATTTTTCTTTGAATTCTTCTCGACAGTAACTGCTTAGTGCTTAGCCTGCTTTGCTGCCTACCTCTGTGCTGTTAGTTACTTCTATTTCTTAAATTGGATTTATGTACAATACAATTAATCAATTATGATTCCTGTTCGGTTTCCTGCCCAATAAATGTAATTTAGGGATTTCTGAATTCTGATTTAGGGCTTTGATTTAGGAAATTGACCATTTTCTGATTTCGGGTTTGTTACTTATTTATATGTAAATTGATAATATTGATTTGGAATTGGGAAGATTGAAACTGTCTGACTTTTGGTAGGTAATTAGGTATGACATAGTATAAACTGATTTAGGCATTTCTAATCTTGTTGATTTTTCATTTTTGGTTTGTTTCAGTTATGGAAAAATACTTTAAACGTACATCTGCGATTTCTTGTGATGAACAAAATATTGACGAAAGGAATGTTCGAAAGAAAAGGGATGAAAACGATGTTCGAGATGTTGATGTTGGGGGTATTGGAGATGTTGATGTTGGAGATGTTGGGGATATTGGAGACGTTGGGGGTATTGGAGAGGTTGGAGATGTTGATGTTGGATTTGGGGGTATTGGTGACGTTGGAAATGTTGAGGATATTGGGGATGTTGGGGATAGTGGAGGAAATGTTGAGGATATTGGAGATGTTGGAAATATTGGGGATGTTGATGTTGCACAGCTTCCCTCTGATCCTGGATTGAGAGTTCCAATACAAAATTATGATATTAATATTCGAGATGTGATTCGAAGAGCATATATGCAAAGAGGTCCTTGTCAACCTCGCAATCATATATTTCAACCCACAAGAATAGGTAAAATAGACTGACGATTTTGTGTTTCGTGGTATAATGAGCATTCCACTTGGTTGGAATACAGTATAGCAAATGATGCAGTTTTTGCTTTTATTGTTATCTTTTCGGTTTGAATGGTGGTTCATTTGTTAAAGGTGGATTCTCAAATTGGAAAAAGAAAGAATATATAAGAAAACACGTTGGGGCTTCAAGTAGTGCACACAATCAAGCTCGGGTCAAATATGAATTGTTCAAGAATCAAGAACAAAGTATTAGATCTTGTCTCGTTAAACAATCGCATCAAGCTCGAACAAATTATCGAATTCGATTAAATGCTTCAATTGATTGTGTTCGATTTCTTCTACTACAAGGGATGGCATTTCGTGGACATGATGAATCTGAAGATTCATACAATCAAGAAAACTTTCTTGAACTATTGCATTGGTTGTGTGATCATAATCCCGAGATTAAGGCTGTTGCTTTGACAAATGCACCTGAGAATTTGAAATTAACATCACCAAGAGTGCAAAAAGATATTGTAAATGCTATCGTTTCTGAATGTCTACATGTGATTATCGAAAATATTCGTGATAGTTTCTTCTCAATTTTAGTTGATCAATCTCGAGACATTTCTGTGAAAGAGCAAATGTCAGTTGTCATTCGTTATGTGAAGAATGGGTGTATATTGGAACATTTTATTGGTGTCATTCATGTTTTGAATACCACAGCTGCCTCACTTAAGGCTGCAATTGATCAATTATTCTCAACGCATAATTTAAGCATATCTAATTTGAGAGGCCACGGATATGATGGAGCTAGTAACATGCGAGGTGAGTATAATGGCCTCAAAGCACTTATTTTGAAAGAAAATCCAAGTGCTTACTATATTCATTGCTTTGCTCATCAACTTCAATTAGCTCTTGTAGCCGTGGCACAGAAACATCCGAAGATTGAAACTTTCTTCACTACAGTACATAGATTGGTGAATATTGTTGGAGGATCAGCTAAACGGAGTGATCTTATTCGAGAGAATCAAAGATTGAAAATTCTTGAATCACTCAGTATTGGTGAAATATCAAGCGAACGAGGTCTCAATCAAGAAATTACTCTTCAGCGTCCTGGGGATACACGTTGGGGCTCTCACTATAGTTGTTTAATTAACTTGATTATCATGTTTTCAACTATAGTCGAAGTCATTGAGATGATTGCTACTGATTCTATAAGTACCGGAACAAGAGGTGATGCATGCATTTCATTGGAGTTGATGTTAAGATTTGAATTTGCATTTAATCTATATCTCATGAAAAAGATTTTAGGGATTTCAAAAGAATTGTCAAAAGCATTACAAAGAAAAGATCAAGATATTGTTAATGCTACGAAATTGGTGCAAATATGTAAAACACAATTCCAAACCGTGAGAGATGATGGATGGGATTCTTTTTTGGGAGTGGTTTGTTCGTTTTGTGAAACTCACAAGATCAATGTTCCTGATATGGATGATATGTTCGTAACTGTAGGTCGTTCACGGCGTGAGACAGTGACAAATTTGCATCATTTTCGTGTGGAAATGTTTTATGCCGTCATTGATATGCAACTTCAAGAGTTGAATGATCGTTTTTCTATAGCAAATAGTGACTTGCTTATTTGTGTTGCATGTTTATCTCCAAATAATTCATTTGCTGCTTTTGACAAGATCAAATTGATTCGACTATGTCAGTATTATCAGGTAGATTTTGATGCAGCAGATATCCTAGAACTTGATGATCAACTAGATACGTATATTATTGATATACGCACTTTTGAAGACTTTGAAGAATTACAAGGCATTAGCGATCTTGCACAGAAGTTGGTTGTGAAGAATAAATATGAAGTGTATCCATTAGTCTACAAACTTGTGACACTAACCTTAGTTCTTCTCGTGGCTACTGCTACAGCCGAGAAAGCATTTTCTGCGATGACTTACGTCAAAAATTGTCTGCGCAATCGAATTGAAGATCAATGGTTGAATGATAGTTTGATTGCATATATTGAGAAAGATGTTTTTGATAAGATTGAAAATGATGTAATTATTGAACGTTATCAAAGTATGAGAACACGTAGAGAGCAATTGTAATAAGATATATCTTATTTTAATTTTTTCATCACTTTTTTAAAAGTTCGTTACTGACCCCCTAGTCTAAAATGTCTGCGTCCGCCCCTGGATGAGTATACAATGCAGTTTGAGTAGTATAGTCTTGTGCTATGAAAATAAAAATAAAATAAAAAAACTAGGTTATATATTAGTAAATTTAAGGTTGGCTACATAAATACGTTTCACGACCCCATTGGATGTATCACGGTCTATAAATAAACAATGCAGTTTCCCTTTCATATTCCATTATTTTCCACTAATCTTCTTGGCTTCTAAGTCTTCTAGTAGGTGTCGGGACCTGTCCATTCTTTCTGCAGTACTACAAGACTTTTCTCTCCTGTGTATCTTCCTGGAAACAGTTGGATTCATCTTGCAACTACGTGGTTTTTACGACCCAGTTGGATTCATCTTGCGACAATCAGATTTTTCTTTCATTTATCATTAATTTCCACAATCTAGAAGACTTCTCCCCTGCATATCATCCTGGAAACCTAGTCATTCCTATGAATTTTTCCATTTTGTGGGCTCTTATAAATAAGCTGGCCGAACAGTTTTTGTAACTTGTGTTTTCAAATTTAGTCCCAAAAACCATCCTTTCATACCAGTAGGAATGAAAACATCCCAGAGGGTCTTCATTTTTGTTGGGGATCCTAGGAGTTCAAACAACCAAAACAACAATCAACAAACAAGATTCAAGGCAAAAAAACAAGAAAAACGGGAATGGAAAAATACAACCCTTTTTCAGCCGATTTCTGTCCAGCTTTCCTTCCTCCTTTGGGCAGCTTCTTCTTCGATTTATGGGTGTTTTTCTAGGCTCAGGAACAACCCCATGTTATGCCAATTGCCTTCCAAAGAGAGAGGGGAAAAACCAATGAAGAACCACCACCCTTTTTAATGAAAACTTAGAGCTCCACACTCTGCTGCTGCTGGGAATACCAAACGAGAGCTGCCCCCATGTTTTATATATAATGGTAGAGTGTACATAATGAAGGGGTAGGAAGAAAGACCATGCCTCTGCCAAAGGAAGGGAAGACCTTATTGTGTCAACCTCACTCCCATCAACTCACAACATTAGGTGGTGGGGTTAGGTGAACCATATCTTCACAATTTTCCTAGTTAATTTTCTTCTTTTCTCTTTACTTCCACTCAACGTTGCTTCAAGAACTGCAAGAACACAAGTAGAGGCTCTTGTAAGATGGAAGAACGCCTTATCATCTCATGAGTCTCTCGATTCATGGGCGTTCAAAAATCTCACGGATCATTGTAGATGGAAGGGCATTGTGTGTAACCCCGGGGGGTTGATTTCTGAGATAAACTTATCTGGTGCAAACCTCACTGGCACTCTTGACCAACTCGGCTTTGGTTCATTTCCAAATCTAACAAGTCTCAACCTCAACTGTAACAATTTTAGTGGGTCGATTCCATCTGCGATAGGAAGTCTTTTCAAGCTCACATTCTTGGACCTCAGCAACAATTTGTTTAGGGGCATCATTCCAGCTGAGATTGGGAATTTGAAAGACCTTAGGTCCATTAGTTTCTACAACAACAGTTTCACAAGTCAAGTTCCATATCAAATTAGTGATCTTCAAAAGCTAGAGTACTTGGATTTTGGGTTAAATTTTTTGAAATCTCCCAAATGGTCTAAAGTTCCGAGCTTCCCTTATTTGACGCACTTCAGTTTCTCCTTCAATCCAATTTTTGAATTCCCTGGTTTCATACTCTATTGTCGGAACCTTACTTATCTTGATTTGTCAGAAACCCTTTTGAGTGGCCAAATCCCGGAATCATTATTCATTAATCTAGGAAAGCTTGAATATCTTAACCTTACCCGTAATTCATTTCGAGGGCCATTGTCATTAAATCTAGCTAAGCTATCGAAGTTGAAAGATCTTCGCTTAGCAAAGAACTACTTGTCTGGTTCAGTCCCTGATATCTTCAGTTTGATGCCCAAGTTGCAAATCCTTGAACTCTTTAGCAATTCATTTCAAGGAAATATCCCATCCTCTTTAGGCAAACTGAGGAATCTTCAACGCCTAGACCTCCGTCTCAATCGCCTGAATTCCATTATTCCTTCTGAGCTTGGCCTATGCACGGATCTTACCTACTTGGATTTTTCCCTAAATTCACTCATGGGATCCTTGCCTTTGTCCTTGACCAATCTGACCAATTTATCATGGTTCGATGTGTCTTACAATAATATTTCAGGCCGTATATCACCTTATCTTTTCTCAAACTGGAGTCAATTAACGTCATTGCGGGTTCACTCTAATAGATTTACTGGGAAAATTCCATCTGAAATTGTTTATATGACAAATCTCAATCATCTTTTTCTGTCCAATAATTCATTTTCAGGGTCTATACCACCGGAAATAGGAAGGTTGCATAATCTGATTAGCCTAGACCTTTCAGACAATTTGATATCAGGTTCGATACCTCCAACAATCGGGAATCTAACAAAACTGGAATTGCTGAACCTTTTCTTCAACAATCTAACTGGAACAGTTCCAATAGAGATTGGAAATTTGAGGCCACTGAAGATTCTCGATCTCAATACAAACCTATTAAGTGGGCATCTACCAGAGTCCATCTCGAACCTTTGTAGCTTGAGCGTTTTTTCTCTGGCCTTCAATAATATTTCAGGCAACTTCCCATCGTTCAATTGCAGTTTAAGTTTCCTTGAACATCTTTATCTGGCTAATAATAGGTTGGAAGGGACAGTTTCGAAATTTTTAGGAAACTTTAGCAACAGTGGATGTAAACTGAAGGCCTTCAACTCAAATGGCAATCGATTTGAAGGAACATTACCCCATACCTTGGTTAATTGTAGGCTACTCGAAGTAATAGATGTTGGAAACAATGACATAAGTGGTTCATTCCCCTTTTGGACAGAAAGTCTTCCAAACCTTCGAGTTCTTGTATTGAGTTCCAACAGATTCCATGGTACGATATCTGCTTCAAAGGCAACAGTTCCCTTTCCTAAGCTGCAAATTTTCGACCTCTCCCAAAATGAGTTCATTGGACTTGTACCAACTAAATATTTATTGCAATTCAAAGCCATGATGAATCGGACTGAAAATGAAGAGAGAGGATACTACAAAGATCCTTTTTCAATAGTGCGGAAAGGGGTTGAGTTTCCGTCAGTGAGAATTTTGAGAGCCTATACAGCCATTGATCTATCCAACAACAAATTTGGAGGAGAGATTCCAAGTTCTATAGGAAAGCTTAAGCTGCTACGATCTTTAAACTTATCTTACAACAGCTTCACAGGTTATATCCCTTCATCACTACAAAATTTGACTTTACTCGACTCGCTAGACCTTCGCTCAAACCAATTGGTGGGAGAAATTCCAAGGCAATTAACAAGGTTGACATTTTTGGCAGTCTTTAACGTTTCACACAATCATCTTGCTGGGCCGATACCTCTGCAAGGGCAGCTACTTACGTTTGATAATAGTTCATATGTTGGCAACACAAAATTGTGTGGATTCCCATTGACAAAGATGTGTAGAGATGAGTCAAATGACAGAAAAGAGCAACCGAAGCTTTCAATGTTGCCACAAGAAGATAACTTTTTAGATGGATTTACCTGGCAAGTTGTCCTTCTGGGGTACGGATGTGGAACGTTAATTGGTTTGGTTGCAGGATGTTTAATCTTTAAATATGAAAAACCTAAATGGCTTATAGAATTTGTTTTTGGATTTTACACAAAATAAAGGAATCCACAAAAGGAAGGCAGATCAAAGGTAACTTAAGTAAAGTTTGCTGCATAAGTCCTTGTAAATTTTACATATATTTCCTCTGTCCCATAAAGATATATTTGCTTTCTTTTTTTGTCTATCCCAAATTATAGACAACATTTCTTGTTGAGGGTATAGTTGATTTTTTATTTTCTAATATATCTTTATTTAATGTACTTTGTTATCGATAAATATGAACGACGTCCATTTAAATCATTAATTGATGTTGGAGTATATTAAAGAAAGGTAAGAAAAATTTATGTTTCCTGATTAGTGTAGTTTCTACACTTATTTGAGATCCTAAAAGATGATGTTTTACTGTTCTTTGAATAAAATACTACCTAAATTGTGTGATATTATTACATTTTGTGAGTAAAACTCGATGTTTGATGAGGAATTGGAGAAAGAAATGCAAAAAATAGTGAAAAATGGGCAAAATCCGAAATTTGGGGACTAAATTACAAACAATTCATAGATGAGATGAACGATGAATTGAAGATCAAAGATTTCAAGAATTTAAAATGAATACAATTGGAAGATAAATGAAAAATATTACAAGAGAAAAAGGCTGAAATGGAGGAAATTCAAAGTTCTCAGAATAGAGTGAAAATACTCAAAAGTTGTGTCGAACCTCACAATGAAGATTCGAGAGTGTTAGGATTTGACATAGCAAACATTCGAATTGAAATAATGATATCAATTTAAGAATTGTAACTCTTTGAGTTAGCTTTCCAATGTACTTTGAATCACTTCAGTTGGATATCGGGAGAGAAAGATATAACCAAATTATTGAAAGCTGTCTAGTGCGAAAATATTATACCTATGCGGTCGCATAGGTTTGATTAGATGCAATCGCATCTATACCTCTAGAGCTCTTGGGACCAGCTATGTTTTATTTGTGTTGTTGCTTCCATTTGTACTTTGCGACCGCATAACACTTTTTCGAGGCGAGATTTTGTTTCTTTCTCGAATTGAAATTCTACTTTGGTAATAATTTTTTGGGCATCCTATTAATACCATAATCCATCCAGAACATAGAGAGACCTTCCTAGACCTAAAAATTCATAGATTCAACATATTTTGGAAACGAAGATCGTGGCTAGATCATCAACATCAAGGGAATTGTGCAAGATTCTTGAAGATTATCTATTCAAAATCAAGATTTCATTCAAGAAAATTTATTTTTCTACCTTCTTCCATATTTCTTCGATTCGGGTGATGTTATTTTATTATTTCTTGTATAAAATAATATTTAGGATGGTTGGATATATTTTTCCTTTATATTGGATAAATGATGAACCTTATTGTTTGTTTATTTTAATTCAAGACAAATAATTTCGTATTTCTTGATTGGTTGATCACCAATTAAATAATAACCGCTTATAGTAATGTAGGAGTACTCATAATAAGTCTAGAATGCGGCAAAATAACACATGGACAATAGGTATTAGGAATAATATCTATGGTATGTACAATCTTGTAATAAATCCTGTAAATCAATATATGTTTTTCATATGAATTTGGATTCGAAATAGAATCGGATTGTGTTCAACATAAGTTTAATATATCTAGAAAAAGAATATTGAATAGAAGTAAATTATCGATTAACTTGAATGCATGAATTTATTAGATTATGAATTAAGAATGGAAATAAGTGGTAATACGGGAATTCAAGATTCCAATGCAAACACTCACATTAGATTTAATCATTTTTTATTGCTTTTTAGGTAAAGTTAGAATAAATAACAAACATATCACAATTCTTTTGATGTCACCACAGTTCGAATTCAATAGTAATTATTGAATTACAAATTAGACCTTAT